GAGAGAGAGAGAGAGAAAGAGCAAGAAGGAAAGAAAGAGAGCGAGAGAGCTCTATTGCCTAATTCTAACAGAGACCACCGTCACTAGTTTGTTTCTTTCTTCGTTGTTCTGGCCCCATTTCGAGTTGGCGTATTGCATCAACATATTGTTCTGATGGTCCGATCTGCACTCGTTTCTCTGACATTTGTTGTATGCGTACGTGCGTGCGCGCGTAAATACATTACAGCTCTCGCCTTGAGGAAGAAATGGCGCACCACAAAGGATATCATGAGAGAGATGTCTGAAGATGCAGATACCAAGGACACGAATTCTGCGATTGAAAGACTTATTTTTTATTATCTGAATTTTTATATAATTTCAAAGAAAGACCTGTTCTGTTTCGTTGAACCCAAGAAAAAAAATAATAATTTTAAATAATTACATTTACTTCAACAGAGTGTACAGTTTGAAAAGAACGTTTTTAAATAAATTTCCTCAATTTAAAAAAATTTTTAAGATTTAATTTTTTATGATTTCTTTTTAATAACTCTTTAGAATCAAATATATCTGAAACAGTTATTTTAAATATCCTTTTGATCCAATAAAAATGTGTTGTCAACAAGTAAACATTAAACATAAACATTTAAATTGACTAAAGTTTAAATTGACTAATGCATTAGTTTGTAATATTATTGGAATCTCTGAAAGCTGTCTTTTTAAAAAAATATTAAAATTTAAATATTAAGAAACTGTAAGATTAAATGTAATTTCAATTCTCCGCAATATGACGCGAAATTACTTATAATAATTTGTAAAAATCATTTATGATAAAGAGAAAATAAGATATTATTGTAGTAAAAGGAATTTTATATGTATGGTATAATAAGCATGATGAATTTTAGAGATGAGAACGAAGAAGGCAGGACAAAAATAATTTTCGTGACAATCTCATGCACAACGCAATTTTATTGACTCGGTTCGAAACACATTTCGACATATGTTTCATAAGCAATCTGTTGTAAGTGGGACAAACTTATATATGGTTTAGTATCCATAAAGAAAACTACGAGATGCACTTCATCACGTATCCTAACGGCAGCTTCTTCATTCGCGAATTTGATGTAGAGCTTTCGATGATGATATCATTACTTGTCACTCTGTTAACTTGTTTCAAAATCGGACAAAAATAAAGTGCAATTGATTTATAATTAATAAAAATATATTCTATTCATATTTTAAATTATTAAAATCGCTCTAATTTTATTGTCTCTCTAAAATCTCTAAATTTATTATCTCTCTGTTGCTGCTGATTAAATTATTTAATTATGAGAAGTTAGATTAAACTATTTAATCATTGAGAAATTGTTAATTAGCTGTTCATTTTAACGTAGCTTTAATTAACATTTTCTGCAAAAAATAATTCCAGATTTCATCTGGAAATCTGCTATTGGAAATTGATGGTAAAGATGGATCCACACAAATGATTGAACTATAGATCATTGAAGGAGGGAGACCTACAGACTTGAAAAGGAACTTCTTCCGGGTCCTGTCTTCTTCATATCATACTTACGTAGGTCTCATAAAAGTGGCCTATGGAGAACTTGAGAGCCATTGCAGAAATTAGTCAAAAAATCCTTTCCCCTGTTTGTTCCTGGTGAGACACTCACGCTTCTTCCGCCGTGCGACGTTCACGAACGGCGAGAAACTTCTCCCCTATGCGGACCGATTCGATGCAATTAGTTTGGCTGCACTGTAATTAACGGAGACTAGAGAACCGAAGATGAGAGAAAGAAAGAAAGAAATAATGAAAGAGAGGAAGAAAGAGAACGCGTGTTTGTAAGACTTAAATTAGCAACCTATGGCGCGAAAGGTTAGTCAATCGCGGTCTCCGTTCTAGTGACTCACTTTACCTTAATTTATACAATCATTAATGCATATCGTCAATATGCGATATGTCCATTGGCAATGGACGATAATGAATCATCGAATGATTGCGGACGAAACGCGGTACGCAGTCATTAAAAAAAATTGGAAATAATTTCATATGTTTGCAATTTTATGAGAGTTAACGACATCAAGTACAGCACATCTTTTCACATATAAAATGCATATATAAAATTTATTATTTTTTCCAGATACAATAAAAATATAAAAATATTGTATAAAAGTAACATTAAAAAATAGGATCTCTAAAAAAATGCTTTTAAAAAAAAGCATCTAGAAGGCTGCTTTATTATAAGTATTGTGTATATTAACATAGGAATATCATGACTAATATTCATCCCATTACTATTGGATTGCTGTTCAAATATTAATCTGACATTATAGAATTCATAAGTTGAAATATCACATAATCAATTCAATAATCCTAAACATCAAATTGTGAAGGATTCATCGTTTCATAAGTATTCCTCGGTGATTGCTCGACTGATAACTAGACGTCGTATTTCACTGGTGCCTGCGCCGATTTCGTAAAGCTTCGCGTCTCGCAGCAATCTCCCTGTCGCGTTATCATTGATGTATCCATTGCCTCCTGTCAAATGATTGAAAAAAATGTAACTGTTATTTTCCTCAAACGAGATCCTTCCTTCGCTAAATATATAAAAATTTTTATTTTTCCCTACAGAGTCGGATGTTATATTCTCTATTGTTCGTTTTTCTTTCCAATAAATAATTTACCGAGTATCTGTATAGCGTCTAATGCTGCTTTCGTTGTGTTCTCGGCACAGAAGAGGAGCACAGAGGCACAATCCTTGCGATTTATGTGACCAGCGTCGCAGGATTTCGCGACAGCATACAAGTAAGTCCTACTTGCAGTCAAAGTCGTGGACATATCCGCTATCTTTCCCTGAAATATAATTAGCGTTAAACAATATCAGTCTGTAAAAAAATTTTTTTAAACAGAATAGAATGCATGATTTTACCTGTATAAATTGGAATTGCGCGAGATACTGGTTAAACTGCTTCCTCGAATGAGCGTACTCAAAGGCAACATCGCAACAAGCTTGGAAAAGTCTAGAATTTACATTCGCATCACAATGTTGTCAAAAGTTCGAAATATAAAAATTTGTATAGATAGATATTAAAGAAATTCTCATCAATTCAGTTCAATCATCATTTAGTTCAAAAGCCAAAAAATCATTAAGACAAATTTTGTTATATCATTTATATCCTAAGAATCTTTTAAAAAAAATTTACCCCAGAGATCCACCAGTTATTACCAATCGTTCCAAATCCAATCCACTGAAGAGCACATAAACACCCTTGTTCACTTCACCCAAAATATTCGCAGCTGTAACAAAAATATGCGATTTTCTTAAATAAAAATATTTTCATATTCTTCTGAAGATCCTAATAAACTTTATTCTGCTATATTCTCTATTTCTCTATTTTAAATGATTTCTTAAAGAAACTATAAAGAAGATCATCTTGTGATTGTGATTTCAAAGCTACTGTTTCCTTTAAGAAAATATTTAAAAACAATAGTTAATAATTAATTTATATTTCCAAAATCAATTCGCCATTAACATAGTATTTTTTTCAAATGCGTAAAAAATTAGACTACATCAAATTAATATTGTAATCTTTTATGTTTTTTTCGCGTTTCTCGTTTGAGCAAGAATTTACCCGGCACTTTACAATCCTCGAAAACCAGTTCGCACGTGTTGGAGCCACGCATTCCGAGTTTGTCCAGTTTCTGCGCCGTGCTGAAACCCTCCATGCCACGTTCGATGATAAAGGCGGTAATACCATGCTGTGGCTTATCCGCATTCGGATTCGTCCTCGCATAGACAATCAACGTATCCGCGTCTGGACCATTAGTGATCCAAAACTTGGTGCCATTCAGCACATAGTAGTCACCCTTTTTCTCGGCCCGCAACTTCATGGAGACAACATCGGATCCGGATCCTGATTCTGACATTGCTAGTGCGCCTATATGTTCGCCGCTGCACAGCTTTAAAATTTCTTATATGCAAATTATTTATATTTTCATATAAGACGATCTATTTATATCGATAAACAAGCAACTAAATTTTAATACCATCGATGGAGACGATTGAAATTAAAATCATTTCTTAATCTTTCTCCCTTCCTTTCCCCTCCCTCTCTCCCTTCTCTCTCTTTTTTTGATAATAAAAATAAATTATAAAATTTGCAATTTATATAATTGTAGATACACAATTTACTTCTACAATTGAAATTATAATTTATTTTAAACTTATTAATCAATATATTTGTTTATTAAAATCTTACATTTTTTTATCCAAAATTCTCTAAAGAGATATAATGTTCGACATGTTACCTTGGGTAAATATTTGTGCTTTTGTTCTTCTGTGCCATTTCGATGAATTTGATTGACGCAGAGATTCGAATGCGCGCCGTAACTCAGCCCGATAGCTGCTGATGCTCTAGATAATTCTTCCATGATAATCACATGATCAAAATACGTGCCGCCTGTACCACCATATTCTGTCTTCACTGTCGGGCCCAACAAACCAAGTTTACCCAACTCTTTCCAAAATGTCTGCGTTTATATCATTTTTTTAATCAAATTGAAACATCATATAAGACAGAATTTGCAATTTGTGATTTATCTGAATTTTCTTTTATATTCAAATTGTCTCTCGGTGCATGAAACGAATACTTACCCTTAATTCATCGAAATTATTTTTCTTGTCGATCTCGGCGGCTTTGGGCGCCAGTTCCTTTTGCGCGAAATTGAAAACAAGCGAACGAAGCTAGGTAAAAAGTAATGATTATTAATTCTCTATCAAATATTTTTATTTAAAAAAATATACACATATATAGTGAAAAATATTGATTAAAACTGTTGAGAATTAAAAATATAAATATATTAAAGGTATAACTTTTAAGTCACATGGCATCATATGACTGAACTATCGTGAAAAAAGAAAAATACAAAAGCGAAGAAACGACGAAAAAAAAATGAATTGTACTTTTATTCTTAATTAAATCATAATTTAATTTTAGGTATACAATTATTTATTAATTATTAAAGCACATGACAAATTTCATCAAAATATATTTTTATTTTAATATATTTTGCAAGAGAGAATTTTTATTATATATTTTTTTTTCTTTTTGATATTGTCATTAAAATAACTACATGTTGATAAAGTTAAGTTAAGAATTTTTAAGAAAAAAAATTGAGAATAAAAATGAATAAAATTCTTATATAAACTAGATATCATAATCTATACAAACATTCTTATCTTATTATAAAAAAATATTAACATATTTTGATAAGTTAATATGGCTATAAAACAAGAGAGATAGCAATATTTTATGAAATTGTTTTTTTCTCTTCTAAATGGAAAAAGCAAATAGCCACCTTGATAGAAATTTTTTTATTGAAATTCTTTGTCAATTGACCTCATTTCATTATTCCATCAAATGCAGTTCTCAGTAAATTTCATGATATATAATATGTGATAAAAATTTTACTTACATTCTTTAATTTTTCTTTATATTACATCGAATTTCATAAAGATAAGTATAATAAAACATTATAAAACTGATGAAATGAAATAAAAGTTATTGAAAAATTGAAATATATTATATAAAAAACTAAATGTATTTCAAAATAAATCTTCCTTAATTTTCCTTATGAAATTTAAAATAATACTGAAATATAAGAAAAGTTAACATATATTGTTGAAAAGGAAAAAAATTTTAAGTGAGATTTAGTTGAGCAAATTTCAGGATAAAGTATTTCTGTAGGGCAATTCTACGCTTATCTCAAGGTATAGTTCAATGATAACAAATTATATATATTTATTATATTATTTATCTATAGATCTGTTTTTGTTGCTGCACTAAAATTTGCATTAAAATTTTTTATTTTGCTTTTGTCAAACTTTAAATATACATTTATTTTATTTTAAGTACAATGAATGTACACTAATTTAGTTACAAAAAAACAAATTATTTATCGAATTATACATATGTTTGATTTGAATCTCCATCATCTCCATCATGTCACGTGGGGAAAGGAGCACAGTGACGGAGACATTTGAGGCGCAACTCGAAGAGCTCTATTATACCAGGCAATGCCGAGTTTTACTGTACATAATTATAATACGTCATTGCATTTTGCCGTTGGTGAAAGAGTAATAGCTTTTGACTCACAGAGAGTTATCAAGCGTCATTGCATGACTGGTTACTAACCTCTTTCTGTTCGTCGCTCAGACCGCAAATATTCTCGTCGATCTTGTAATAACTCGACGCGCGACTTACACCAACTTTACTGGAGCAATTCGCGACATGCCGCAAAATGACGAAAGGACGTGCCAGGAACATCCTGCTTTTCTTTGCGTCGATCGAATGTTGAATATTAATGAATAATGAAATTCGTGTCCAATAGCGACTTATACTTTGTTCGTTGCCGAAATAAAGAAAATCTTAGACGCGAATAGGTATAAAAAAACAGAAAAGAGTAATTTGCAAGTTAAAATGATTTTGAGATTAATATTTTTTCAGATAATTGATAAAAAAAACACTCGTCAATTCATAGAGGTAGACGTATGGATGATAGATGTTCACTGTTACGAAAACCACACGATAATGCTGACGATAAGTAGTCGTACTGGGTGGGAGTACGAAAAGTAAAATACGACCAATACGATAATACATTATATTACAATTTGTGATAACGCTCACGTAAATATTATTGTAAGGTCTCTTAATATCGCACTAATACCAATGGAATTTTCAAGAAATCGTCGAAAGACATTTTTATGTTATTTTTTATAAAAAAAAAATGATTAACTGTATTCAAGAAGGAACAAACCGCGCCGATAGTCGATTCAAAGAACCTGTAAATTTCGACTTTATCAATCATCTTTCATATTAAATCAATGACAATAATGACTCGAAAAATAATATTAATTTAACGATTTATAAAATTAAATTAAATTTTTCTAATTGTAAGTTAATTTTCTGTTCATGTAACTAAGAATGTATCTATTCCAATTTATTTTATAAATCATTAGTTTATTTAATTAAAAAAAGAATTAATGTATCCAATTTTATCGGATCAAGATAATTTTATATTTATTCATGCCAATTTTATCAAAGATTAATGGGATACTGAACTTGTCTATATTACATATCCGACGAAACACAACAATAATTTTTGTATTGCTTTCATTTTTTATTAACTTTAGGGATCTAGAAATCTTTTTCTACAATTAAAGTTTATGTATTAATACGTGTCTATGAAGCATATGAATTTTGCATCAAGAACAAGAAAAATTTTTTAAATTTAGATCTTTTTTATCATTTAGTACTTTAAAATAGCTCCAAAGCTAACAAGTCAATATTTGCTTCATATAAAAATTTTACAGCCTGTACCTACAACTGATATTGCTAAATTAGAAGATTACATGAAGAAACAATGTTGAGTTCTTAGAATTAAGTTCTAGATACCTAATGTAATACAAAAAAGCAATACGAAAAATTACGCTTAGTAGTTATATTTATATCATGTATATACAGAAATGTATATTGAGTGTATGTATACATAATCTATGTATGTATCTATGTATGTTTAAATGTGTGAATATTTTTGTCGGAATTCGCTTGTCATGAAAGAGAAAAGAATGCAAAAATAGAGAAGGCAGTATAAGCATAAGAATTGAATTAATTCATTTTTTTCACAATCTCACTTATCGACGCTGAGTCGATAAAAGGCGTATGTCAGCAGAAAGGGATTTCCTTGATATTAACATGTTACCCACTGATAAATTTCTTGGGTACGTAGTTCAGTGCTCACATTTTGGATATAGGAGCACATCGTTTAACGATTTCACGAAAAATATGAACCTGTTCATTCTTAGGGTTCATCCGGAGCACGTGGGTGGTTTTGCTGAAAAGCGAATTTGTAAAAAAGTATTGATTTATTAAATGTATTGTTAATTGTGAAAAACAGAACAATGAAAGAAATGACGATATGTGCGGTATGTACATTATATTTTTTTAATAATATATACATTTCGAAATATAGAATCTGATTCTGAATTTCGAATAGAAATTACATTTATGTTTTTCTTTTTTTTTTCTTTAAATAATAATTGTTAAATGAATCTCGCTTCAATGCATCTATAAAATGCATGAATTTCAGAAACATCATCAATAAGAAATATATTGTATATTTATTCAAAATTACAATTTCTTTAATTTTTTTTCTCATATGTTATAGATTTGTAAATAACTTATTAAATATTTTTTTATTAGGATAACTCAAAACTAGTGCCAGCGTTTTTGCGGAGTAAAGGTCTAGTGAAACAGCACATAGATTCTTTTAATTATTTCATTAATGAAGAAATTAAAAATATTGTTAAAGCAAATGAGAAAATCCAGAGTGATGAAGATCCACATTTCTATCTGAAGTAAGAGCATAATAACATGTACTTTTAAATGATGCAATTGTAAAAGTATCATGGAATAAACATCTTCTTTTCTTATTTCAGGTATTTAAATATACGAGTAGGTTTGCCTGAGGTTCAAGAAAGCTTTACTGTAAGTCGACTAAGTACACCACACGAATGTCGTTTAAGAGATTTAAATTATTCTGCTTCCATAATAGTAGATATTGAATACATAAGAAATAATCAGCGAATAAGAAGGAATAATGTGGTTATTGGAAAGTAAGTGTGATGAAAATTAAATACAGCAATATATATATGTGTGTATGTGTATATAATTATAATATAATTAATTATAATATTTATAGGATGCCAATTATGTTGCGCAGTTCAAATTGTGTATTAAATAAAAAGTCCCACATGGAATTGGCCAAAATGAATGAATGTCCACACGATCCAGGTGGTTATTTCATCATAAATGGCCAAGAAAAAGTTATATTAATACAAGAACAAATGGTTAGGAACAGAATTATTTTAGAAGAAGACAGCAAAGACTGTGTTGTTGCGTCGTGCAACAGTTTTACCCACGACAAAAAGACTAAGACAAATATTGTGGGTAAAGGTGGAAGATATTATCTAAGACATAATATGTTCCAAGATGACATTCTGATTACTGTAATTTTTAAAGCTATGGGAATAATAAGCGATTTGGAGATCACGCAAATGGTTGGAATACAGGAAACGTATTTGAACAAATTTGCAGCTAGTTTAGAAGACTGTCAAGAAATACGCATTTTTTCACAGAATCAAGCATTGAAGTATCTTAATAATAAACGAAGACAGACGAGATTTCATGTCCCGAAATCTGTTCGCGTTACTGACGAGATGAAGGATCTATTAGCAACAAATATATTGTCTCATGTACCTGTTGTCGATTTTAATTTCAGGCCAAAGGCATTGTACCTTGCGCTGATGGTTAGAAGAGTTATTAACGCACAGTCTGATCGTAGTTTGATTGATGACAAGGATTATTATGGCAATAAACGCCTAGAGTTAGCTGGTTCTCTTCTTGCTCTGATGTTTGAGGATCTGTTTAAAAGATTTAATTGGGAACTTAAACAGATTGCGGATAAAAATATTCCTAAGATAAAAGCGGCAGCGTTTGACATAGCTAGACACATGAGGCATGATCTGATTACCAATGGATTAGCTTTTGCTATATCATCGGGCAATTGGACAATCAAGAGATTTAGAATGGAGAGACACGGTGTGACGCAAGTATTATCGCGCTTGTCGTATATTTCGGCGCTTGGCATGATGACGCGAGTCCAATCTCAATTCGAGAAAACTAGAAAAGTCTCGGGTCCGCGATCGTTGCAAGGTTCGCAATGGGGAATGTTGTGTCCAAATGACACACCCGAAGGAGAAGCTTGCGGTTTGGTAAAGAATCTAACTTTGATGGCACACATCACCACAGAAGTGCCAGAGGAACCAATAATAAATTTGGTACTTAATCTTGGTGTGGAAAATATTTACACTCTTGCTGGTGAAGAGTTGACTAGCAACAACGCGTACTTGGTTTTTGTTAATGGCAATATGGTAGGAATTGTGCAAGATTATCAGAGACTAGTGAATCAATTCAGATTCTTACGCAGAAAAGGATATATTAATAATTTTGTATCGATATATACGCAACATCGGCATAAGTGCATTCAGATCAGTTCCGATGGCGGGCGATTATGCAGGCCATGCATCATCGTAAAGAATGGAAAATCTCTTGTTAAACCAAAACACATAGAAAATCTTGAGCGTAATATTACAACTTTTGAAGATTTTCTGTATGATGGTAAATAACTTAGACTATAGTTTTATTTAGTTTTGTATGTGTATGTGTATTTGTATTATATATATATTTTTTTTTTTTAATTAAAATAATTATTTACTGTATTTAGGACTGATCGAATATTTAGACGTAAATGAGGAAAACGATAGTTTAATTGCGTGTACAGAATCTGAGATCAGTGATGATACTACGCATCTAGAAATCGCCGAGTTCACTATATTGGGAGTTTGTGCGGGATTGATACCATATCCACATCACAATCAGAGTCCAAGAAATACTTATCAGTGCGCTATGGGTAAACAAGCAATGGGGATCATAGGATACAATCAACGTAACCGTATCGACACAGTGATGTACAATTTGGTATATCCGCAAACGCCCATAGTAAAAACTCGAGCAATCGAGTTGATCAATTACGATAAACTGCCAGCGGGTGAAAATGCAATTGTCGCTGTGATGTCATATAGTGGATATGATATTGAGGACGCATTGATCTTCAACAAAGCCTCCATCGATAGAGGATATGGAAGATGCCTGGTATATCGAAATTCGAAATGTACATTAAAGAAATATGCTAATCAAAAGTATGACAGAATTATGGGGCCATCGATAGATGCCAATACTAAGAAACCCATATGGAAGCATGACATTCTCGACAGCGATGGGATTGCGGCACCTGGTGAAATGGTGGAAAATAAGAAGGCAAGTTTAAATAGCATTAAATATTTTTTACGTTGTATTTAATAATATTTTGTACAGGTAATGGTAAACAAGTCAGTACCGGCACCAAGTGAGAATATGGGCCCTGTGCCATCTGGCAATGTACAAACGCAAACGGAATATCGGAATGCGGAAATCCAGTTCAAAGGGTTAGTTCCAGCATATGTGGAGAAAGTTATGATATCTAGTAATGCGGAAGATGCCTTTTTAGTGAAGTTGTTACTGAGACAAACCCGAAGGCCAGAGATCGGTGATAAATTTAGCAGTCGCCACGGACAGAAAGGTGTTATAGGTAAAACTATTCTTATATCTTCATATTATACATAATGCAAGAATATATTAACGTTTGATAATATCCATTTAGGTTTAATCGTGGAGCAAGAAGATATGCCGTTTAATGATTATGGCATGTGTCCTGACATAATTATGAATCCGCATGGTTTTCCATCTAGAATGACAGTTGGTAAATTAATAGAGGTACTTGCGGGCAAAGCCGGCGTTGTGAATGGAAAATTCCATGATGCAACAGGTATGTTTTATAAGAAGATAATGATCGAGCTATTTGATAACATTTAATCTTACTGCATAATATCTTTATTTATAGCATTTGGTGGCGTCAAAGTGGAAGATATTCGTGAAGAATTAGCGAAAAAAGGCTATAATTATTTAGGAAAAGATTTCTTCTATAACGGCATGACTGGACAGCCGCTATTAGGATATATTTACTCTGGACCAGTAAGTTTCTCTCTCTCTCTCTCGAAAACAGAAATTATAGTTACTAAATTGATTTAATTACTTTAAATAAACTTATTTCCAAAAGAGTCATAATGCACCATTTTTTTTTTAATAAATAGATACATATTGTGGATATATTAATTTTACTCGTCTTAATTATCGCGTTTGAATATTTTTATATAGGTTGCATCAAAATTTCTAATTTTTTTATTTCCCATAAAAATAAAGATTTTTACCTTTTTCGGAAATAATGAATTTAATAATGTAAATAAGTATATTTGATGTTTATGACATATTTAAAATGGATCTTAGGTTTATTACCAAAAATTGAAACATATGGTGCAAGACAAGATGCACGCTCGTGCCAGAGGACCAAGGGTAGTCTTAACTCGTCAACCAACAGAAGGACGTTCTAGAGAAGGTGGTTTACGATTGGGTGAAATGGAACGTGATTGTTTGATCGCTTATGGAGCTAGCATGTTATTAGTAGAGAGGCTTATGATATCGAGTGACGCTTTTAAGGTCGACGTTTGTAACAAATGTGGTTTGATAGGGTACAACGGTTGGTGCCAAAGGTGCAAATCCAGCTCATCCGTGTCTACGATTACGATGCCTTACGCGTGTAAATTATTGTTCCAAGAGCTACAATCTATGAATGTAGTGCCTCGTTTAACTTTGAAGGATTATTGCGATTGAATGTACAATTTTAATAGTAATAATAAAGAACATATTACAACAATTTTTAAAAAAAATTTCGAATGTATTAATACTTTAATTTGATTCAATGCATAAAACACATCAAGTTTTCAAGATATATATATATATATATATATATATATATATATATATATTAATTTATTATTTTCAAGATTTATATATTTATTAATATAATGTAGAGACCATATCTCTTACATGATTCTTGTAAATTACAATATATAAATTAACATATTTGTTGGAAGACATATGTTGGTCTTTGGGGTTTGATTACTGCAGAAATCTTCATATTACTGTAAATACCATTTAACAAGTATTCAGTCATTGAGATAACATTACATAAACTATACATTGTATCTATATAGCTTCAAAAAAAAGTGAAAAATATATATATCTTCTTTTAGTACAACATTTAAATACAACAATATTTAAACAATATTTAAATAAATAATACATAGCCATAAACAATATTTAAATATTTTTTTATTTCTTATTTTTTGTAATCTTTATATGTATAAAGATTCCGCAAACAGACGAATCTCTGGATTTTCAATATTGTTTTTACTTTGTACGAGTCGCAATTCGATTTTTCTAGCAGGTTGTATTTTGGCATCTGTATGTACTGCAAACACTTGTTTGAGTTAACAGTAAAACTAATAAGTATTTTTTTGAATTACAAATTTCATTTACCTTTCGAATATTCGTACGTGTTGAGTAACACGCTATATAGAGAATTTATGGTTTTTTCCATGGTGGTTTTCATATCATTTTGCAAATATATATGAGCAAGAAATAGTGCGGCAAAGAGATCTCCAGAACCTGTGAAAGTCACTGGTATTCTAGGAATGTCTATTTTCATTAATGTAGCATCTGAAAAAAAATTTAATTTAAATTTCTAATCATTTTGAAGTATGCTTTATCTCGCAACGCATAATCAACCTTTTGCAGTGCTCACTACTGTTGTTAATTTATCATTAAGCTCAGTTGATGAAATAGCTACAATTTTTGGTCCAGCTTGATGTAATTTTTTTATCGCATTTTGCAGTTCGTTCATATTAGTGATTTTTTCATCTGTAAGTAACCTGAAAAAATAATAACAATATATAAATAATCATAAGAAGATATTAATTTCTAAGAATTGTTAGCAATTTATATAGTGATCTCTTGATATATTAAAACATAATAGAAAAAAAATTGATAATATTGTCATGTTAATATCATTTATACTCTATTTCAAACTGATTCGGAGTCACCACGTCCGCCAATGGTATTATCTCCTTTTTGTAAATTTCTTTCAATGCTTGTGGGACATACATCTTTCCATCGTCACCCATAACAGGATCACAAACTGACAACGTATAATAAATAAGTACAATACAATTGACAACAAATATAATAAATATAATTCACAAAAATTTAGTCACATATGAAGATTACTATTATAATCTAAATGATAACATACCATATGTAAGATTTGGATTTTTGGCTTTCAAAGTTGTGATTAACAAGACTACTCTTTTTAGAAAAGAAGCAGAACCGATATATCCAGTTAGTAAGTGTGTATAATTGTCCAAGCCATTTTGTGCTAAACCATCAACTAAATCCTCTAAAGTAGTAAATTAAGAAATGTTGTTAAATGAACATTATTGTGTCACATATTTTTGATTAGAATATTACCTAGATCTTTATCATTGAGTACTTGGCCTTTAAACATTTTGTAACCAGTATGATTGGACAATTGTACAGAATTAATTGCATCAACTTCAAAGCCCAACAACTAATAAACAATCAATCTCTTAATTCTAATATTTTATGGGATATAAAAATAATGGGATAAAATTGTTTAAAAAAAATAATAAATTAATATAATATAATTAAATATAACTAACATAATTAAATCAATAACTAATAATTAATATGTTAATTAATATGTTATTTCAGCAATACATTTTAATTATAAAAAATAAAGAATAAATACATAAATTTATATACATAAAATGTAGCATATAATTTCATAGTATGATGATACATATGAATTTAAAAAAATATTCTGGAACTTTCAGAATAATGATGTGTTATACTTGTCATTCAATATATTTATTTTATCTTTTATATACCTTTTATTTAACTTTTTATTCTCAATAATATTTATTTTACTTTTTATATACCTTTTATTTAATTTTTTATTCTCAATAATATTTATTTTATTTTTTATATACCATTTATTTAACTTTTTATTCTCAATAATATTCAAAATATATAATATTCAAATAAAAACAATTTAAATCAATAAAATAGAAAGAAAACTACATTTTATTAAAATCCGATGATTTAAAAAAGGTCTGCTAAACTAATTTCTTAGACATTTTTTATCTTTTCCCATATTAATATTAATCACTTTGAGATAAAAAATAAAAAATCATAGAAACTTCTATTTTACATTGAAAAGTAGAAATCTATAATAATATGTCTATATATGAAACATTTATTTAATTCAATAAAGAATTAGAATGTTTTCTAAATATATTCATTTTAAAGTTAGCCAAGCTGTTCAATAAGTACGAATGAATAATTATTTAATCTCATAATATTATTATTTATATTATTTAATATTACTTGCAATTTTCTTGTTGAGTAAAAGTAAGAAGGGAAGATACAGGGAAAAAGAAAATAAATAACGAAACTATTTCTACAGAAATCTACGCCCGTTTTCGACGGTTCTAAGTATGGAAATAATCATGATTTTTTTTTCCTAAATCCCAAAAGGATCAAAACTCGCTGGAATCAGTATTTTCATCATTATTCGTCCACCATTGTCTTTGGAATAATCTTTTTAACGCTCTACCGTGATAAATGATAAAATGCCACGTTTGTGGCGCATGACAATTGGACTGTTGCAGTTTGGTATTAAAAATTCACGAATCCAAAAAAAAACGTTGAGGAAAATTCGATGAGGGAATTGGCGGAAATCTATTTGCGTGATTCACCTGCAACGGGAAAGTCGCACTCTTGTTGCCGACATAGCCTGACACTACGTGACTCTGGATCGAGAGGATGCGCGGTGTCTTCGTGGAGTTCATGATTGATCAGCTGATTCACACCCCTGATTCACTTCCTTCAACTGTGCAACTGTGTTCGCTGATCAGTGCAACACCTGTTATTTTTTCCCAAGATCTTCTTCTTTTTGAATAATTTCGGTATACCAAAATGGACCAAAATGAATCAAAATGGATCAAAATCTTCGTCTCAAGATATATCTGATTTAATATTAAGAGTCACGATTTATCTGGGATTCAATAATTCAATAGATTGCCTACTCGAGATGTGGGAATCACATGAACTCATGAGATAAAGCATTGACTGGTTCTTGCTAATATCGACTGGCTTGATGGTTATGTAACTATTCACTCAATTATGTGGTAATCTAACGATTATTATTACTACTATTACTCCTTATAATGGCCTTGCCTTTCTCGGGACCAACACAAAACGCCACGATAAAACACAATGTGTTTTGAAGAATACAAAATCAAAAATTGATGAAGCTAAATCAGAATTAAAAAGCAAAGGCGGAAATGCGTAATAACACAAAACAATATAAAACAATAGAAAATTATTTTAAGAGAACGAAACACATCCGCTATACAACGATGTAGAAACGATTAATCACCGATTGATAAAATTTAACGATGCAACGAGCCTACAGATTTCGTGAACACACAACCATAGAGATGTCTGAAAAAAAATTTTCCACATTTAGATATAATATATAATAGAATATAATATTTAATATATATATATATATATATATATATATTTA